AAATTTACATTTGTACATCGAAGATCATTGGCACCTGTGGTCACTTTTGGTGTTGTCACGATGCCAGTTTGTATGTGAAACGTTAGGTTGGTAACTGTTTGGGGCGCCTAGTCCTGCTTTAATTTTATGAAACGTGATGTGTTCTGGATAAGTATATGCGATGGACCAGCATGTTTAGTCATCGATGCAGGCTTGCTCGCGTTCTGCGGCGACACCGTAGAAGTAGTTCTGAGGAGAGACAGCGCATATATTAGCAACGCAGAGATTGTCTCTCGTTCAGAACTAAATACTCCATGCCTAACCTTTGTCTAGACCTTGAGAATACTAGTTATTTTTTCGCTCATGATTCTTTGCTATACAATTTCTTATGATAGCTAATTTCAACTTTTATGTTGATTTAGGTGGTGAGAAGTGATGATTCGTATAGTGATATATCTTTTCACGATATCCGATACCTAGACTTAACTTATATTCTTTTATAGAAGAGTCTAACTACGAATGCTGATATATTTGATGCTGTTTATTAACTGTACTGTAGTAAGTCTGGACGACAACAGAATCAGTGGAATACCCCTATCCTACCAGTGCTATTTGTAGCCTCATAGGTTGAAGCATCCTAAACATGAACTGAAGGAAGCTTTTTGGGGTTTTCTATTCACGATTCACTGGTGACTTATTGAATGCATGTCAAGTTGATGCTTCTATATGGTTCATAGACTTGGAGTCTCATGAAAAGCATTTCAAACGGACTGCAAACTTTCATCAACGGCTGCCTTCGCTTAATACTGAAGACCAGACGGCTAGAAAAGATAAGTAACAAGGAGCTGTGGTGGCGGACTAATCAACCCAACAGACATGAAAAAGTGGAGGTGGATCGGTCATACGCTGAGGAGTTGCGCCACGCGCCATACCCTCGAGTGGAATCCGAATTGAAAACGACGAACTGGCTGTCTGTCGGTGACACGGAAGAGATCGTGTGACAGGAGGAAATGGAAGCTTACAGGATATCATAGAGACAGCCAAGGAGACTGAGGGCTGCGTTGGATGATTTACCGATAAGGTCCTCTATTCCGCTGGGAACCTAAGGGAATAATAATAGTAACTCTAGTGACGTAGTAAAATGCTGAGAATGGCACCAGTTTCAGTTCATATACTTATTGGATGTACTTTGCTCATCAACAATCGTGAATAATCATGGCAGTGTTGAACAGATATGGTTATGGTAAGCTAAAAAGCAAAATGTAACGGTTTAATCCCCTCAGTGACTAGGCATACATGTATTACGTATGTCTAGTCATCGCCTTTCTCGACGGGCAATGTTAGCTGATAGGGCCAGGCTGGAAAAGAGCTAGCGGCGGTCAAATGAAAACATGGCACCAGTCAATGAAATCCACAACAGTCAGTCTAAGCCACGTAGGAAGGTGCAGACTTCCTGGTTGGGGTCCTCGGGACGGTAAAATCCAATGGTTGGAAACAATTGGTGACATGGCTCAAAATCGTTCTCAGTGGCGCAGATGCATCCACTCCTTGTGACTTATGATTTCCAATGAAACCGTTTTGTTCTTCGTTATTACTATTCCTTTGTCTCACACCTCTGTTTACTGTCTTTATTATACATTTCTCCTAATTTCTTCTCTTGCTTTGTGTGCTACATGGAGTGTGGCGACTTGAACTGCCGCACATATGTGCAAAGTTCTATGTCGAAAACCGACCGACCGACCTCAGTGTTGTGGAACAACCTACTTCATTGGTTCTGAAATGCTTTAATATGTTTTGCACCCATATCAGGTAGATCTGCACCTGGATCTACGCTTTCGCTCTTAATTTGCTTCTCCCATAAGATGTAGCTCATTGACTGAAGCACTAGGCTTTCACTCAGTGAGTCCTAGGTGTCAGTTCCACTCCACCAACTTCAGCAAAGGAAACTGGGTAGTATCATCATCTTTCACACAATAAGTATGGCTTCTAGCCGTGCACATTATAAATCTATTCCGGACATTTGAATTTAAATGAATGTTGGGTTGGGTTTTCCTATAAACTTACGTTATTTTTTAATGTAGGACGTAGAGAAATGTTTGTTTTAAAATGGAAATCTAAATGTCGAAAGTTGTGTTCTTAATGCCTATATAATATATATTATTGTTTCCTTTAATTCTTAGAGGAACATAGGGCTTCAGCCTCACTTTTCCATTGCGTTCGGTTCTCTGCCAACGTTTTCATCTGGCTCCACATCTGCCCACATTCTTTCTTCTCCCCTTCACATGGCCTCCTCCATGTCACCCTTGCAGTGACAACCAACTCGCAGATTCCCATTCGAGTTGCACTCGAGCAAGGCCTGGCGTGTGATGTCACTTGATGGTTTTCTCAGAGTATGGCCAATCCACCTCCATTTGTTTCTGTATATTTGTTACACAATTGGTTCCTGCTGGGTTGGTTCTCTCATTACCGGAGATCCCTGTTACTGATCTTTTCTGGCCGGTCACCTGATCTGGAGTATTAAGGGAAGACAGCTATTGATGAAGGTCTTTAGTTTGTTCAATGTGGACTTCGTGATGCGGCACCAAATCTGATCCGTATCGTAGCACTGACTTCACATCGGAGTTGAAAATCCGGATTTTGTTTTTCATGCTGAGTGCCGAGTGTTGACCTCCACACATACTTGAGAGTAATGAAAGCTTGCCTTGTTTTCTCGATCCTCACTTTGATATCCTTGTCAGTTCCGCCTGTAGTTGAAACGATGCTTCCCAGGTAGGTAAAGGAGGTTGCTTTTTGAAGCCTCCTCCCATTTATGCTGATTGTTGTCTGTTGGTGGTGTTGCCCAGGAATCTTCATCACCTCTGTTTTCAGGTGAACACCTGAAGTCCTATCTTTGATGCTTCTTCTGCCAACTTGTTGCTTTTCACTTGCATATCTTCTAGTTTGTGGGAAATGAGACACATATCGTCGGCGATCCAGATCCTACAAGTTTTTTGTGTGGGTCCATTTTATACCTTTTTCCTCGCTGCCCGCTAACCGTCTGTCGCATTACCCAGTCTGCCGCAATTAGCGAAATCATTGGAGATAGTAAGCAACCAGCTTGTCTTATTCCCATCTTCACTTCAAAGGATTCTGTGTTTCCCATTGTGGATTACTTGGCATGCAGCATTGTTGTACAACTGTTGGATGAGATGTATAATTGTTGGTGGCACTTCATAGTAGCGAAGTAGTTTCCAAATCACCTCTCGATCGACGCTGTCGAAGGCCTTTTCAAAGCCGATGAAGTTGAGATAGAGAGGTGACTGCCATTCCAAGCTCTGTTCAGTGATCATACGTAGTGTTGCGATTTGATCGATGCATGACTTGTTCCTCCTGAATCCAGCCTGTTCCGGTCGAAGATTTTCATCCAGGGTGTGTTTGATTCTCTCCAGGATGATGCGGCTTAGTATTTTGCTTGGGATAGACAGGAGCATAATGACGCGCCAGTTCTTGCATTAACTTAAGTCTCCTTTCTTTGACAGTTTAAATAGGTGGCGGTGGCCTTCATTCCAATCCACAGGTGCCTTGCCCTCTTTTCACACCTTCTCCAGTAGTGATGTCATCAAGTCCGCTGATGTCTCTGGGTCCATTTTCAATGCTTCTGATGGGATTCCATCTGGTCCTGCTGCCTTTCCAGTTTTAGCCTTTTTATTGTCTTCAGGATTTCTGTTTTCGTCAGAGGATTGTTATCCACTGGTAGTTCCGCTTCCGCTGTTGGTATTATTTGGTGCGATGTAGGTGGCGGTCGATTAAGAAGTCTTTTGAAGTGTTCAGCCCAGTGTTTCCTTCGTTCCCCCTGTTTGGTGATTGACTTTCCATTGTCATCCTTCACTGGCTTAATTTGTGTTGATCTCTTCCTCGATAGGAACCTGGTTGTTTGGTAGAGTGTTGCGAGGTCTCCTTTGCCTGCAGCTTGCTCTGCTTCACTTGCCATAGCTTCATAATATTTTCTTTTGTCTTCCCTGGCACTTTTCTTTACTCTTTTGTTCAGTATATTGTAGCTTGCATTCAACTCCTGTTGTTTTTGCTCGTCGATGCGTTGGATAATCATTTGTTTCAACATCCTATCTTCTGTTAGTCTCCATGTGTCCGCAGGGAGCCACTGTTTGTCCTGCCTCTTCTTTCTGCCTAGAACTTCCATGCAGGTTTGACTCCACACCGCTTTCACGTTGTTCCAGTGCTTTTCAACGCTGGCCTCTTCGCTAATGTTGATTTGTGTCTCCACCTTTTTCCTTATGTTTGCAGTGAAGATGGTTTTTGTGGCTAGCCTCACGCTTGGGAAATGATTTGTTACATAAATATGTTGGTTACAGAGCAGCGACTTTTTGGGTTGCTCCCTTTAGAATCAGGAAAACAAGAAATAAAGCAATCACGACGACAACAACAACAAAAATCGCAGCAGTAGTATTACAGTCACATACAGTTATCAAAACCATGGACTCACTGACTTTGATCAACTTGAGCATGTAAATCCAATAATATATACAATTATAGATATTAGTTAATGTTAAACAGTCACAAAATGCCAAACAGTTATAGTTATTAACAGTCAACAAGATTATATCCACAGATTCAGCGTTCGAAGGTAAACAAATTACAATAAATTCTACAATTTCCTGGCCAGAAACACCAGCGTAATGACAGTTTCATGTAACTAAGGAAATCTATATAATAAGTTTGTATTGATTTTAGTAAGTTGGAGGTAGAAGAATGCATTCATTGATCATGTGAGTTTGTAGTTAGAAAACGGTTAGCAGTCAAATTTTGATCTTATTCTTCCGTGGGCTATTTGTTGTTAATGGATTTAGAAAAAGTTTAATTTAGCAGTGGTAATTATGGTGTATTGTAATGATGTCGTGTTTACGAGTTATATTCGTGGGTTTTATTATGTTTTGCATGAATTTCGGATTCCCTATGTATAAATTTCGACAGATTCTTCTCGTCATAATCCCTCAAACTGCTTGTGAACTCTTCTTTCATTCCAGGTGATATCCATGGTCAGTACACAGACTTATTGCGTCTTTTTGAATACGGAGGTTTCCCTCCAGAATCCAATTATTTGTTCCTCGGAGACTATGTTGACAGAGGCAAACAAAGTTTAGAAACTATCTGTCTTCTACTTGCATATAAAATAAAACATCCAGAGAATTTCTTCCTTCTTCGCGGTAATCACGAGTGTGCTGCAATCAATCGAATTTATGGCTTCTATGATGAATGTAAGTAAGCTTTTTTTGACATATGATTTCACAGAAACAGATTTTGTTTTCTCAGTGGTTCCCTATTTTTTAACCAACGCATCAGTTTGTCTTAGTAGAACGTACAGCAATTTCGTAAATAATTAATATTCACAGCTAGATCTGTTCAAGAAGAATGAGAAATTTGTCTGTATGTCCAACTCGTTGGGGCAATGTCGGGCGGAATTTCAACCTTCACTATTGGATGCTGACCCTCTCCGAGTTATGGACAATTTTGACGGACAGTACTCGTAGAATCTTGAATCGCACTGTCATCTAGTTGGATATTAGTCTGAGACTTGGCTAATCATTATACATTATCCCTCATGTTTTTATTTTCCAACTTGAGAAGCATTTCTTTTAATTGGGGTTTTGAGAGTAATGCCAACTGTATGTGAAACGCCAAGTGAACGTTTCCTGCGCGATATCAAGGTCGTGGTGGCTAACTGTTTTAAATCTGTGTACATATATTTCATTCTTGTGGTTGCTTATGAAGTATTCACCATGCTAATTGTTTAACGAAGACGTTTGGATTAGTGTGGATAACGTGGGGGGGGGTATAATTAATATTTTGTTAAGTTCAATTTTTGTTCTTCCCGTTAATTGACTGAACCTAAATGTTCAGCTTCTGTTGACTTATCGACTCCTATTACGGACGCTTCGACATTTTCTGAGGACTAACATTGGTGTTATTTGCATAAATAGTGTACTTTTGTAGACTAACAGATGCTAGCTTTTAATGTCTCATATAAACATAACTGGTGTGTTATGCAAAAAGCGTTTATCATTAACCAACAGCGTATGTTTTATTCTACAGGTAAACGACGTTTCAGTGTTCGATTATGGAAAACATTTACTGACTGTTTCAATTGTCTGCCGATTGCTGCAATTGTAGATTCTAAGATATTTTGCTGTCACGGTGGTAAGTTCTTTTATTTGATGTTTGAACTTGATAGCAGGTGTATTTCTTCTATTGACTTCTTTTACTTTCGCTCACTTTCAAATAATTCACATCATATATTTCTTTTGCATTTATTATAGACATTTACTGTCTTTAACATATGTCGTTGCCAAAAAAGGAGCTGCAAATAAAGTGAACGAAGAAAAGACTCCAAAACTAACGAGATTTAGTAATAAAAGGGTAGATATACCCACCGAACTGACGTATGGCAGAAAAGACATTACTTGACTGGATCCCGGTAGATAGCCGAATGTGTGCTGTCCGTCTGAACGGATCAGTGAAAAGGAGAAAGGACTGCACTACTCGTCAATGCCTTTTCGCAATCTCCGCCTGCGCCTCCAATGACTGCAGTTTGGATGAAACGAAGGATGAGTTCTACCAAAAGCTGTCTAGTTTGCTGCGAAAGGCTAAACGCTCAGATATAGTCGTTTTAGCTGGTGACTTTAATGCTCAAGTAGGGAAATTGTGTCAATCTGAGAAGAATGTCGGTGGCACATACGGAATTCCATGCCAGCGAACCGACAACGGTGACCGTCTCCTACAGTTCTGTTCAGATAATCATTTGTTTCTTGTAAGCACTAACTTCAAACACAAGAAGAGACACTGTTTGACCTGGCGACCCCCATCATCAAACCAACGCTGGACACAAATAGACCACATAGCAATAAGCTATCGTTGGCGTGGGTCGGTAGGAGATTGTCGCTCCTTCTGGAACACGTGTGTAGATACCGATCACGCACTGGTCCGCGCTCGTGTGTGCTTACGACTGAACGGACGTAGGAAACAGCTAGCGGAAAACCCATCACGTCCCTAGCTCGATCAGGAAACTAAGCCCCTATTTGAGGAAGAACTAGCTAAACACATATCTGAGTTCGACAGCTGCGCTCACCCTGAAGAAGCCCGGAAGAATATTCAGTCAGCCATAGATACAGCTGTAAAAGCTGTGAATAAGGTAAATCCAAAGGTGAGTAAAAACCATTGGATTTCGACTGCCTCATCCGAACTGATAGATGCTAGAAGACTTATTCCGGCGAGCTCCGAATTCAATGAGGAGCGAAAGCTGCACAAAAGGAAACTTACGAAAAGTCTCCGCAAGGACCCTGAACAGTGGTGGGTGACAAAGGCGAAAGAGATGGAAAAAGCATCGGCGATAGGCAACTCTTTAAACTCATCAGGGAAACGGGTGGGAGAAGGCAAATCATAAGTGAGACTATTTCTGAGAAAAATGGCTGATTAATTAGCTCTCAGGATAGACGCCTTGAACGCTGTAAAGAACACTTTGAGGAACAATTTAACCTGCCTACAGCCACACTGGGCCTCCCCGCCACCCAGCACACACCCGAATGGGATATAGACACTGGCCCGCCGTCTGTAAGTGAGGTCACAAAAGCTATCTGTGACCGGAAACGAGGCAAAGCGGCAGGACCCGACGGAATTATTCCGGAGGTGTTTAAATATGGGGGTGACATACTAGTATGTAGTTTAACTAAGGTACTAGGTAACGTCTGGGAATCAGAGACGGTTCCATCAGATTGGGGTAAGTCACTTATTATACCAATATTCAAGAAGGGAGACAAGTCCTCATGTGATAATCATAGAGGAATCAACCTGACGAACATAGTCTCTAAAATCCTAGGCTCAGTAATCATGCACAGACTAAGCCGAACTCGGGAGAAACAAACAAGGGAAAATCAAGCCGGCTTTAGGCCAAGTAGAGGGTGCATAGATCATATCTTCACTCTCCGACAGATCCTAGAACATAGACACACTTTTAGGCGTCCAACAATTGCCATATTTCTTGGCTTGAAGGCGGTCTTCGACTCCGTGGATCGAGAGGTACTATGGCAATGTTTGACTGTGAAGGGAGTGCCAAGAAAGTACATTGCACTAATCAAGGCACTCTACTCAAACTCACGTAGCCGTGTAAGGGCTTATGGGGAATTGTCATCCGCTAGCTGTTTCCTACGTCCGTTCAGTCGTAAGCACACACGAGCGCGGACCAGTGCGTGATCGGTATCTACACACGTGTTCCAGAAGGAGCGACAATCTCCTACCGACCCACGCCAACGATAGCTTATTGCTATGTGGTCTATTTGTGTCCAGCGTTGGTTTGATGATGGGGGTCGCCAGGTCAAACAGTGTCTCTTCTTGTGTTTGAAGTTAGTGCTTACAAGAAACAAATGATTATCTGAACAGAACTGTAGGAGACGGTCACCGTTGTCGGTTCGCTGGCATGGAATTCCGTATGTGCCACCGACATTCTTCTCAGATTGACACAATTTCCCTACTTGAGCATTAAAGTCACCAGCTAAAACGACTATATCTGAGCGTTTAGCCTTTCGCAGCAAACTAGACAGCTTTTGGTAGAACTCATCCTTCGTTTCATCCAAACTGCAGTCAGTGGGGGCGCAGGCGGAGATTACGAAAAGGCATCGGCGAGTAGTGCAGTCCTTTCTCCTTTTCACTGATCCGTTCAGACGGACAGCACACATTCGGCTATCTACCGGGATCCAGTCAAGTAATGTCTTTTCTGCCCCAGTGCTGAAATGTATCCCAACACCAGCTAATCCTCGTAATCTAGGTCTCGCATCTCGTGACACCGTGAAGGGGAATTTTGCTGATTCATCCTGTTGCCCAGGTGGAGTTATGTGAGTAACCACACTTGGGTCTTGTATGCGTCTTTCTGAAACACAACATACAGCAATAGCTCTGGATGTCAGAGTCTTGGGTAGTGATGCTTGTTGTCCTATTTGGGAAAGTGTCCTAACATGAAGTGCTCCTATATAAAATTGGTGGCGTGGCTTTAGGAGACTATCGGTGGTGGTTTTTTGGCTTCCGTCGTTTCCAGTGCACAGAGAGTGAAGAGCCATCAAGTAGAGGAGTTGCATTAGTAGAAGAAAAGCAAGATAACAGAGATGAAGATGAAGACAGGTGAGTGAGGATTAGAGAGGTTTCACGTGCAGTTTGGATTGTGAGGGTGATTGTTACTTCCCGGCTGCCCACACCGTGGAAGTTGGTTGCGTGACCGCAGAGCCCAGGGGACAACTGCTTGAGGCCGGTCACACGCAGTCTGCTTTTGTTTGTTCTTTTTTATTTGGTGTGTCTCAGTAGCATATTTATCACTTCTGCCCTGTGACACGGCAGCAGGAAACGCGGTCGTTGTTAATCCGGGCCCCGACCGATCCGGCATGATATTTTGTGATTTACTTTGAGTCATAGCATTGGGTTGGGTAACTGCTTTTTGTCTAACCGCTATGCAAACAACCTTTCTGGCATGGTAGGACCTCAAGCGACATAAGTCTCAGCCAGTATAGCTTGTTGGGTCATTGCGGTGTTCAAGCCCGACCACCACGTCAAGGCAGCAGCTTTCGTCGGGTGTCAGTGGCGCAGATGTATTCAGTCTCTGTAATCTTTCATATTCCTTTCTACCATTACTCATTCTGTTTCACTCTTATACTTGTCAAAACTCTAATGATTCTCTTCACTCATTTTCTTGTCTACCTTTGTGTGCTATTTGGAAGGTGGCAACTCGAACTGCTGCACTTCGGTGCCAAGTTCTATGTTGAATCTAGACAGACAAACTGACGTATGACATTCAGATGTCATTTTTACGAATGGGTCTAAATTAGTACATATTTTAGTGTAAATAGGCGTTAAAAAATAAGTGGCCATTAGTCATCCGTTATCTGGTTATGTGTTGGACACTGCATTCGGGTTTCAGGTTTGACTGTTGATACATGTCCATTCTCCACTAGACTTCACAACACAGGTAATATCCTTACAGGCACGTAACATTTCCAGTGTTTTCTTTAATATGAAGCAGGTATTTGACTCCGTTAATCTTATAATAACATCTCCCTTAGAAAACGGCACGTCACGTTGGCTAATTATACTCAGGGATACTAACATGGAGAAATAAAAAGTTGGCAATTTAATATTTTCTATTGGCTATAACTCACGGTTGAGAATTGAATGTGTCATCCAGTAAGATTAAAAGCTGTCTGGTTGTTTATATTTCCAGCAGTACACCCAACTTTGTTATAGATCTGGTAGTGGAGTTGTCAGCACGACGTCTCACATACCTCAGCTGTCAACTTATTGTTAGCTTTTCACTAATAAGGGGTTTTGCAATTAAAAGTGAAAATTGATAAATGGTGTCAAATTGTCTTTCTATTCAATCTGTTATCAATAAGGCTGTTCAAAGTGTTTACCAAACATTCAACTTCACCATTCATTTATCGATTATACAACGACAATAGTATTCTTTAGGTTGACGAGGTGTAATCAGAAAGGAATTTTTGAGCAATAGAGTGTATGCACTGAATGCCCTGGGTGTCTAAGAATCTTTGATCGAAGTGCTTTGAATGTGAGTATGTTCCTTGTCGAACATTAAACACTCCTGCACAATACAACAACAAACAAACAGCATCTTGATATGCACCCTGTAGCACTTTGTAAAGAAATATTGATGCATATGGCTGGCTAGATTTCCGTGTTGGTTATTGAGTGTCACTCTTTATTGGCGGCAATGCATATCTACAGTTAGTGCATCTTCACATGAAGTGAAACAGTCACTGATCAAGTGAGAAAAGATCATTGACGTGTCCGAAATCACTAGTTCACTACCAATGAATGTCTTATTCAGTAAAGGCACTGACAACATGCCGATTTTTCTGAATTCTAAATGAAAAATCGAGTGTTGTGGCTCATCCGAGTATCTTTATCACATTTCAACACCTACATGCTGACTTACTCTCAACTCCTGCAGATAGTATCTGTAGGAGTGTAGGGTTGGGGGCGAGCGGTATTAGGCTTATCAGATCATGATATGATATTGATCTGTGTTGGTTTGCACTCATTGGGAAGAATACTGTCAGTATTTTTAGGGGGATTAAATCTACCTTTCATATCACATCAGTTAGTCATATTTCTAATAATTATTCTGTTTAGTTACCAGATTTTTTCTCCTTTTCAGGATTATCTCCAGATTTGCAAAATATGGATCAAATAAGGCGCATAATGAGACCATCAGACATTCCTGACACAGGTAATTTCGTTTGTCTATGCAAAATTACTATCATATAATCAAGATTATGCTTTCTCATTATTTGAATACAATGGATTTAATGAACCATAGAAATATACTGAGTTGTAGGCGTTTAACAATTCATCTGTGAGAAATATATAGTTATATGGCTGTTGTTATAGTGTTGAATTTCAGTCATTGCTACACATGTTCAACGCATTCATGTAGTTAGGTTTTCGCATTCGCTCGGTATCGACCGTCTTATATCCACTGTGTCAGCCCTAATAACCTAAGATGCCAGGTCTGTTACAGTTATTTCGACTGGTGGTATAGCACAGGTACCGTGCCTTGCAAATAAGTATGATTCGAACGAGGTTGGCTTGTCATGAAGATAACGAGCATTCCTCATCCTACTAAACTCGAATCTCTGCAGGTGTCAATATTTGACCAGCTTGACTTGCATACCACCCCTTTGATTTTGGTATCGGAGTGATAATGTTGTTTACAGGAGATCAGAAACTACTTTATAATTTTCCTTATGACTTTTGCTTTATTTATCATATGTCTCAATCCGTTTACGCTTTTTCCAGGACTTTTATGCGATATCCTATGGTCAGATCCAGATAAGGATGTTAATGGTTGGGCTGAAAATGATCGAGGCGTCAGCTTTACATTTGGTCCAGATGTAGTCACCAAATTCCTTAACCGACATGATATGGATTTAATTTGTCGAGCACATCAAGTAGTTGAAGATGGTTTTGAATTTTTCTGTCGTCGTCAATTAGTTACTTTATTCTCTGCGCCTAATTACTGTGGAGAATTTGATAATGCCGGTGGTATGATGTCTGTTGATGAAAATTTAACCTGCTCATTTCAGGTATGCATTGTGTTACTTGTTTATTTTATGTTACTTATTTGTTTATTTCAGTTATAATCACAAGATTAGATTAGTTAGAGAACCATTGAAAAACCAGGAAGTACCGGATAGCTGTTTCGTTCTAGAATTGCTACTCTTCTACGATACGCACCCATGACCCTATCAGGAATCGAACCTAAAGCCAAGTTGCTTGGAGAGCTGGTTACCAATGGGCCAGTGGCTGAATACTCAGTGTTTTGCCCTCGTAACCTGAAGCTCCTGGTTTCAATCTCTGGTGGGATCATGTATACTACAGAAGAGTTTCTAACCATGGCAAAACAATTGTTCATCACTCGATGGTTCTCATCGAACTGTTCATAGTGTTCACTTATTTTTGATCAGTATTCAAGTTCTATTTGCTTCGGATAGAGTGATACAATCAGTTTTGCATTCATATTTGCACTTATTTGTATTTTTATCATCTCTTCATTTTACATGCATACACATGTTTAAAACATTCTATTCTTATTCTATTTTTCACACAGTGAATATATATATTTTCTTCAGTCACATGATTTAGTATATCTGCCTGCATATACATATAGTGGTTCGTTGTTCGGAAAAAAGATATTTGTTCGACGAGTAGGACACATTGATTGAATACATAGTTGTTTTTTTCCTCCTTTGTATTTTATATAATTACACTGTGAATGAATCCACTGTCCACTAAGAGAAAAGCACGTGGTGATATATATTACTGCTTTATCGATTAGTATTGCATAATAATGCAAACTCTGATATGTTGATGAATTTTTACCTACATGCTTATTTTCTATACTATTGTGAATGTGTTTTGCTGGTGTTTTCAGATTTGTTAAATGGGTGATCTTGTTTAATTTAATCCGGAATTTATCAACCAGTAATATGATCTAGCAGTTCTGGTTTTGTTCGAATGTGATCCTTACAAAGTAGTATAATGAGTAATAATGAAGTGTTCACAGGACTGATAATTTCTGCAAACGTGTTTTACCAGTGTGTAAATTTCGATTTACTCACTTCGAAGTGATCTACTTCTTTCTAATGTTGTCTTGTTTCAAAATGTTCAGATGTCGAGGGTTTCTCGGGATTCACCCATTCAGCTTTCACCGTACAAACATTGTTGTCTTTGAGTGATTAAATCATCACCCTTTGACAGTTTTTATGCTGCATACAAAGGAGGCGTCTTTTGCCTGTCAAGTCTTGACCTAATAACAAAGTGACGAGTAATCTGTAAGAGATATATTACACGTCTCCGTTTTTATTTGATTTTATTATGGCAGTACCGATGGGTGGGGTTTTTATTTAAGTTTGGCATTTTCGAATCGATTTACCATCAGGAAATACTATTTTGATAAGAACCTGGTGACAGACACAGCCTTCTGAATACGCTTAGCGAAATCAGAGTAATTCTTACATGTTGGGGCTCTCCCCCGCAAGACTTATCTGTTGTGTCTTCAGAATTGGTTGAATGACTGAATTTTCAATGTAGAACTTTGAGCAAAAGTGCATTTTTAGCGCTTCAATTATTAGAGGAGATGGAATTGATTCCTTTAAAATGTCATCATGTGTACGGAAAACTTGTTCGATATTAACCACCTTGGGCCTTTCTCACCGGTCACCTATCGAGTCACCCATCAATTTTTCTGATATCATCTTTGTACCTTCTCGGTGTGTGCATGTATGATTTGTTTCTTATTCAAATGGTCTTCTGTCTATTAATGTTCGAATGGGAATTTTTCATGAATTAAAAAGTAGCAAGACCCCTCGACATTCAAGGAACTCAATGGGTTTCGACGGTACTCTGTCAAACTTGCGGTAGCGAAAGCGAAAATAACTTTTTCCAATGATTGCATCACTAATCGTGAATATCCAAAGTGGTTTTGGAAAGCACTGAGATGAAGTCACATATATCCCAACACAAAATCTCTCTGACGTCATGCATTGAATCTTGCCGACTCTATTAAAGCACGTATTCCAGAACTGTAATGCAACATTTCACAAAGGTCTCAAGCCCTCCACGATTTGCTACCTAGTGAAACTCAGAGGTTTACAGAATACGTCAATACAGTCACTGAAAAACGGTCACAATCTACTATATCCCAACTCACGAAAAGTCTCAAATCTACCAAAGCACTCAAACAGTTTCCTGATGACCCTTCCAAATTCATATTCCGCTATTCTTCAGTAGTTTTATCCAGCCTGCAGTTAGAAGCCCTATCCATGGATCCAAAATTTTGTGACGTCAACCGAAATGCCGACAGACTCCATACTCATGTACAATTCGAAAACTTAATTAACCAAACAAGTGATTTAACTCCAACTTCCGAACAAGAACTACAGCGATTAAAATCAACAATAATCGATTTTTGTTATCAATATCTGAATACAAAACCAAAAGTCTACAACCACCTAACAAGGCAACATAGAGAAGAATTAAATCAACTGAGACAAAACAAAGAACTTCTAATAACCCGTCCAGATAAAGGAGCTGGCATAGTCCTTATGGACAGAAAAGACTATATAGAGAAAATGAATAACATATTGTCAGATAAAACGAAATTCTCGCAACCACCCAATGAAATAAATAAAACAGAACAGATTGAAAAACAGGTCACCGATGTCCTTAAAAGAATGCAAACCGTAGATTTAATCAGTCATGGAGTTTATGATCCGATTCGACCGACAGGATCAATAATACAAAAAAAGATGTGCCACTATTCGCTTCGTGACACCTTCCAATTCGTCGATTATATTAAAGATACCAATGTAAGGAACAAAAAATGCTCTCTCTCGACATCCAGTCACTATTTACCAATGTTCCACTCACAGAAACCGTCTGTCACATTTGTCAGTATATAGACGAAAGCCAGCTGAACAACGAATTACCGACGACTTGTTTAAAAGAACTACTGCTGAGATTTACACTTGATGTACAATTCACATTTAACGATGTTATTTACAGACAACAAGATGGAATCTCCACTGGGCCTATTACTATCAGACTGCTTCATGGCAAACCTCGAGAACGGCCCACTGAAATCAACCATTGACAGTTTCCAATTGTATGCTAGATATGTGGATGACATCTTTATTATCTGTGATGACGGTGACGATCTCAATCAGTTACTACAAATATTAAACAAATGCCATTCAGCTACAAAGTTCACTCTTGAAATTGCAAACGAATCTAAAATTCTTTTTCTTGATGTTGAACTTACAAGAAGAGCTGACGGAACTGTAAGAAGGTCCATCCATAGGAAACCCACATGGAACGGCCAACTGACAAGCTTCCACAGCTGGTTACCAATCAGTCGAAAAAGTAACCTAATTAGATCTCTTGCCACTAGCGTCCGACGCATCTGCAGCTCTGATACCATGGAAGAAGAAGCACACTTCCTGAAAGGAATCTTCATGCAAAACGGTTATCCATCAAGATTCGTAGACAAAAACATCAAAAAAAAAATCCAAAAACAAGAGACGCCATCCATGCCAAAAAGATACTTTATATGAACCTCGACTCCAAATGTGTCCTACTCAGGGATGTCCTTAGGAGGAGAATTTCCACTTCTTTAAGAACTTTTTTTGCGGCAACATTGAGAGTAGTCTTCTCTAGTCGCCCGCTGATCTGCAGAAGCCCAAAGAACAAGATCCCGCACCTGATCACTTCTATGTGTATATATCAGTTCACCTGTTGCTGTGGAGCCAGGTACGTCGGTGGTTCAACGCGTATCCTGTCAAGAAGGGTCAAAGAACACTATCCAGCGTGGCTACAGAAAGGAAGTAATGGCTGCATAAGGAGTGCAATAATCGAACACCTCGTCAACACTGGTCATTCCATCTCAACAAACGCCTCCTTCGAAGTAATCTACAAAGTGAAGAACAACCTGCGAAAGACAATACGTTTGCGTCTTCTTTGCATTGCAGAAGCCCTAGTTATTCAAATTCCTCATAACGTTCCATCTTTCAACTGATTGGTAGTTTCACTTGGTTACAGGTTTTCACACCCGGTGATTCAGTTAGTGGAATCATGTGTTGTCAGCTGCAGAACTACATTTTAATGTATTCGAAGTGTTGAATTCGAATATGTGTAATTCGTGAGTATGCATCTTGAAAAACGTAAATCCTATTTTAATGTCTTCAGCACACTGTGAATCGGATGCATGATGCAAGTGTTTTTTCGTCGAGGCGGTTAGTAGAGAAAAGCTCAGAACTGTCCCGCTCTCTAGTAGGTTGTCATGTATCACTAATTTCTTGGACGAGATAATCACTTCGCAACAACTCTGGATACCCAGATAGTGTTATCATCCGTTGTACAATTGATTTAGCACGTAACATGCAAGGGTGTGCTATTTCGTAATTGTTGCATTTCTCCATTCGTTTGGAAGGTACCAACTTCTCATACGTTTCTATTCATTTTCTGACTTCTCTCAAACTTTGCTTCTTACCTGTGCTAACGTTATCCCCATACGGTTATACAGGTGTAAAGTGATCAGAGGTTTTTAATCAGCGACGCCTTTGTTCACTTTCTTTTGTTAGGTGAGTCAATGTAGTCAGTAATAATGAGTTTAGGTGTAAAGTGCCTATCGATCGATCGATAACGTTAAGAAGCCTCACTGACAGATATCTAGGATATGCATTTCTATCTGAATGTGAAAGAAAAAGGTTAAAATGGTCAGAACAAAACATTGGAGTCAACTCATAAAGTTCTTAAATGTTCATCTAACCCACATGGAGTGGCATAGACTATCTAACTGTGAGGTTTTTCAAATGATGACAATCAATGGCTAAAAGCGCTCAGCTATGTCCCAAAATGGTTCTCAATGCCACAGATGTATCCACTCTCTGCCAGACTCCAAATGCTGACTGACTTTTATTGCATTATCGTCTACATTGCACACAGATTGTTAATTTCATTGAAATATCATTCGGTTTCTTTTCTCTCATTTCGTGCTGTCTTGAAGTGATGCACTTGTGTGAGGTTATACACTAACTTATTAATCAGTATATGCTGGGTGTTCGCCTTTTCAATGTGTAGAATTTTGTTTTGACTAGATTCAAATAGTGCCTGATTGACGAAAATGATACATCGTTATATTGTATGAAGCAGACGTTTACATTATTAGTGATTCTGTTATTTCTCAACCTTAATATTACCCCTTATTTGTAAAATTTTTAGTTTGTCAATCAGGTGTGTATGTATTTGAGACACAGTTGACTCCACAGTGTTTATTCACATTTATCAGATCACTCGTTATTTTTTTTATTTATGTTTTGTAGATACTTAAACCATCTGAAAAGAAAGCCAAATATCAGTATCAAGGTGTAAATACAACAGGCAGCCCGGCTAAATTACCCGCTCGTATTCCATAAACGGTGATAAAAGAAAAAAAAATAAGGGGAAGAGACGACTGTGTTTATGCGTATTTCATATCATCTGGAGAAAATTTTTTTTATCTAAAAACATTTTTCTTCACATATATATACATGTGTGTGTTCACGTGTCTTTAATACAGCACAAAGTCTTTGTTGACGGTAAGTGTGATAAATTGAAGAGTATTTCTGATAGCTTATATTACACTTCATACACTGCTTCGAGTATTATTATTATTATTATTATTATTACTACTACTACTACTACTCTTACTGCCATATTTGTATGCGCACAGCATCCATTTGTAAGTTAATTCATGAAGTTATTGCTCAAAAATACTTCCTCTTCATGCGTCTGTTTTGCACATTTCTGTGTGAAGTTTTCTTTATTGTTCTATACATATACATATATTTTTTTCATGAATACATTTATGGGAATGGTTGTAATTTCATGAGTTTGTCGTGTTCTGTGTGTGTTTGCTTTTCTAAGCTTTTGGTTCTACTTTAATTACAGATTTATATCACAATTTTCTTGACGCGTAATGCTATTTATTCTCTTACATACTTACAGTATGTTGTATTACTGCTGGTAAGCAACAATTTACGGGTTTTGTTTTCAACGTTTATCTACTGTTTTCTCCGCCACTGCCGCCTCCTCCTCCTTCACATAATACAGAAGTGAGAGTATTACCAGTACCCTTTCTCTCTTGTTTAAATTTGCCTTCCTTTGCTTATATTCTCGATAGTAACTATTTAACTAGCATTGTTATGCCGAAAACGGTACAGGAAGTTTGTACATCATTGACATTTCAACTTCAACAATGTGTGCGTGTGTTAACTTTGACAGCGTGTAGTTACGGTTTTACCTGTTTTTGACAAATACAACAAAGACGGAGCAAGATGCTCCGTTGTGTTTCCCGTTTTTGGCTTAACGGTTTCCATGCTTTCTGTAGAATCCGTCACGCTTGACAATTCGTTTTGTTGTTAATGAGTGAAGTCTGTCAATACTTCTTTTCCTTTTCAAGTTATTTACTGCCTTATTTCTATGGCTTTATTCTTCCAGCTGACTGTGTGTACTTAAAGTAATCCCCTCATCTTGTTATTATATCATATCACAGGCTTTAATTTTATATTATCATTATCTTTATTATTATTATTTACACATAATAGTCTTGCGTTCCTCTTTCTCTGTGTCACTGTGAAGAGTAAATAAAAGGAAAGCTAAATAAAGGGGAGAAGACAAACACACACACAGAGAAGAATGGCGAAAGGTGATGAAATAACCCTTTCTTTTTATCAAACTGGGAGATGAGGATGCATTTGTCACAAAGTCATTGTGTGATATATGCTGTTTTTCTTTCCTTCTTTTCAATTCAAAGTTTTGGTGTTCAACATTTTGTTAGGATTACTGAAATATTACTATTCCAGTGCAAAAGAGTGTGAAACTGTATTCCCCATCATAGATACTCAACAACGATACGACTCCCCCTTTTTTGTTCATTTATTATATTTACTCATTCGATATATACTCACCTACAGAAATTGGCTATTTCGTTTTCTTCTTTCTTTGTTAATAGAACATTGGAAAGAGAAAAAAAAAGTTGATACTATCTATCCATCTAACGTTTGCTTACCTGTTTGTTCCCTATATTATAATCCGCCTACGCATACACTCAACTCTTCTCTGAGATGTATTTATTTAATTACCACTTATTACTCTGTTTATTATGCCAAGCATATCCTCTTTTTCTAATGATAAACTTCTCCTGAAGCAGAACAAAACCCATCTTATCGTTTAAGTATTATTTTTCTTTCTTGGTTAAATCAACCCACCTTACCCCTCCCCACCAACGATGTGTATATTATCCTTCGTTGTATTTAACTGGTCTTCTTTTGAAAGGAGAAATTAAAGAAAAAAAACAAGTTTTTTTACACAAACTTTTTAAACGTTTGAATATGTTAGTGGGTTTTTATTAGTGTGTTGGCATAACGTGGGCAACACCGTTTTGACAATCAGGTGGTATTAACAGCATTTCGTCCCAAGTGTTGTTGTGTGTTTATTTGAACTCATTTCTGGAAACTGGTCTTTGATGTTCTAGGCTATAAGACGCACTTATTGTGTGTGAACTGGTAGCACTACTCAGTTACCCGGGCTTAAGTAGCTAAATAGGCAGGCTGTTTGAACCTGGCGCTCAGTAACTTTAAGCCAAAAGGCCACGTCTCTTCACCAGTGTTGTATGAAGGTGTTGATATTTGAAATATTACAGGAGCATTATGTTAGGTCCCAAGATTTTATTATTGGTGTGTGTTGTACTGTCGGACATAATGGTTATGTCCGAGTTGTGTATGGATTTAAAGTTTGAAAGTATTATAGGTATTTAATTATATCATTTATTTTGTTCCTTTACGTTCCCAGTGGAATATAGGGCTTCAAGGTAGAGACTTGAAGTTTCAGTATTAGGGGTGTTTGTTCTTACGGGATGGGGTTGTTAGCCTCATGTCCAACCTTCCCTCTTCACATGTCTTATTACTGGCGTACCGAAGTAAAGGAGTGCGTTGGCTGGGGGATCGTACCCCGAACCATCTACGTGGTTGGTGAGCATTCTACCATTGTGCCATCGACGCACACAGGTATTTAAAGGAAGCAGTAATAACATATTGAGGGAATATCATGAAAACAGATGTATTTTATTTCGTCGATATTCTGTCAACTGCTTAGAACCTGGATAATGAAAGATAGTGGTAGTTGTACTACAGTTTTACATTATCGAACAATAATTAAGAATCGTCATTGTATGTAGAGGATTATGGAAGTTATTAGAAATTGTTCATAAGTAAATGAAAAATACGGTGATTGCTTTTGAATATCTAAGTCAGATTTTCACTGTTTGATAGCAATGATCTTCAACAAACGTCAAGAGGCTTGCGCTCGCTAATTCATTGGTTATTTTGAGGGGACTCAAGATGTTTACCTGATGCTTGTGTGTTTCAAACAACATGTTTGTCAGTTCGCTCAATAGATGACACGTAACATTCCTTTGTTAACTCTAACTGTGTGTATCCATTCACGTGTAGCTGGCGTCAAGCAGATTTATTGAAAGAAGGGTCTACCTAAGATTTTCTGAACATACACAGGAAATTCTGCGATTGAGAGGAAGTAAATCTTTGAAAAACAGTCACAAGATATATGATAGACAGAGAACATGAAATAGAAGTTATTGTTCTTCTGCACTTTTCCCCCAATGAACTATGGTATGACTGACTGTTTTCAACGTAGAACTGTGCAGCAGCCACACTTCACTCAGCACACAAAGTAAGAGAAATGGAAAATAGAGACAGTGAATAGCTATACGAGGCAAAAAATAGTAATGTCAAAGAACAATATAGTTTTATTGGGTATTATAAGTCACAAGGAGTGGATGCATCTGCGCCATTGAGAACGATTTTGAGCCATATCACCAATTGTCTCCAGCCATTGGTTTTCACCGTCCCGAAGACCCTGACCAGGAAATCTGCGCCTCCCTACGTGACTGGCTTAAACTAACTATTGTAGATTTCATTGACTGATGAAGCCATGTTTTGGTTTGACCTCCACTGGCTTTTTTTGTAACCTACTCCTATGTCAGCTAGCATTGCCCGTCGAGGAATAAACTATGGTATCTTAAGACGGTAACCAAACTATCAGCTTTGATTATTCGGGTTGTGAATTTAGTTGATAAAATGGATCCATTTTATTCTACCCCGTGTGTCATTAGTGTTTTGTTCAAATTCCTTAAAGGGAATTCATGTATGAAAGGCTACTGGTCATTTTCCAGTAAATCGAGGACAGGCAACACAGTATAACTGTTAATTTCACAAAAATACGTAATTCTAGTTTTTCTATTCTATTGCAAGGGAAGTTCAAGTGTCTGTAGGGTAGTAAATGTGAAGGAATTTCGTGAAACACGGTACACATGTGTTTATCCAGTATATTATACTAATGAGACAATGTGTTACTGAATAAAGCAGGAACAACAGTTGGAGTAGTAGGTTACTTCGATATCGTTATATTTCGTTAATTTCTCGTTAGTCGTAAATTTTTAACGTACGTAAAGTGACACAACATGATAACTTGTAATAAGACGCTTCAACATAATTCTCGAAATGTACTCAAAAGTTACACATCTTATGTATAGAAAATTCAGGTGATTTTAAAATGTATGAATACACTGAAAATAAGTTAGGTAGTTCAAGACTCGCTGTGAAAAAGCCAGTGATACATAAAGTAATGTGTAGTGAGGTCTACTCCGTTTATTAGAAACAAAAAAGCAAAAGATTTCTTTTTCAAACGAAAGAGCAATAGGTTACACCAAGGGATTATGTAATCAAATGAAAGGGAGATTGAAGAAACTGTATCACCCGGTTAAAGGACAACTGTTGACTGCTTCTTTCCGAACATGTCGATGTGTTTTCGAGCGTCTGACAGCAAATTTGAGAAGAATTATATTGCTTATCTTATAAGATTTTGGGGTGTCCACTCTATGAACTGTATCAATAAAACGATTAGCAGTAGGGTTGTTGAGATTAATTGTTCCCTTGGGGAATAGGTTTGCCCTTCTTTCTGTATTTCCAATTTACCTGCCACCACAGAAACATAAATTTATATACGCCATCAGATTTTTAAAAACAACTATTCTATTATCATATGGTTGTAGGTGATCTGTAGGAAGCCTTGCACTTACGTTTCGTGTTTGTTGGCACTTACCAGCAAGGCGTATCAACAATCTTGAAGGAACCAATAGCCCCTCTGAGATTTGGACCTGCGTGACCCAGTTTTGCAGTTAGTAACGTTACTACTAATCTATTGGGTTCACTAAGTGCGATACCTGGGGTATTCTGCCGATTCCCTCCAACCATCTAACATTGACTCAGAGTGCAGTATAACGGCGAGTCGTCTGTCTTGGTGATTACATTGCAAACGTTACTGTGACAGAATTCAGTCTGCACGAAATCAAGGACTA